TTCGGGTTCGATTCCCGGCGCTACCAAATTTCTGAGTAGTAATGGGTCCGGAACGGGGTCCACTTAGCCTCGTGAGGATAATTGAGGAGGAAATAGCAGCTCCAGTTTAGAAAACCGAAATTAACGGCCGTGGAGATTCGTTGCGCTGACCACGTGACACTCTCTGTCCGCTTAATTTGGCACTAACTTCGCCGACAAGCGGCGATCGCTCGGTCGGTATAGTTCGCTTGCGGACGAAAACCACGGAGTAGGAGTGACTATAGACGACTTCTGCATTAGATAATTGGATTTATTGACACCTTATTCACAGAACTCCGGACTGCAGGCAATTGTATCGCTACTTCTGTTTTGAAACACTTTTCAGTTCAGCGTTACACATGCATTAGGATTCTCGGTCTTCACTAGTCGTATCCAGCCAACGGATTTATAAGAGTCTCGTAACTTCTAATCACTCATGAAGTCTTCTTTCCACAGCCTAATTCATTTCTTGCCATTATTCTGCAAATGCCAATTCCGAAGACTCGACTCAATTCAATTCCTCTGCTCCGAAACTTATAACCCGGCAGGCTGGCGTCTCGAAACTCAACTCGACTCGAATACTGTTCTATACTGCTTTTCACAAATCACTCAGAAAACACAGTCTCTATTGTTAGGGGGCGTGTTTACTGATTCGCTGCCTAGAAATGGACGCCCCATTGTTGCGCGCTTTGGCTCCCGTGGGAATAGATTTACCGAGTCGTTGCTTAGCAATGGGTCTATACTTCACAATATGAAATTTTGATCGGAAAACCTCACCTGGCTCAAGATAAAGTACCAATGGAGGTTTTTCTGAACACGGAAATGAACCTTCGGGTTCCATGAAGAGCAATTCCTTGAGTAGCTAAACGACTGTTAGCTTCTCAAGAGGGACTAAGTGTAGTGAGTTAATGACAAGTTTTTAGGCTAACGGTAATGGTAATGGTTGCATTACTGTCAGCTTTCTCAGTAAACTCGCCACGACTTAACATGAGCTTGAGCTCTTGACGAGACTGCGACATGCAGTGAGAACAGCGCTCTTTTTACCTACTGCTTCCTGTCTGCAGACAAGAGGGGTCCGACCTGGACATTCTGTCATCAAGGCGGAGCCGTCCCCAAAGCGCGAAAATCGTACCTACTCTATTTAAATGAAATTTCAAACAGCTCGAGATGTTTTCTTAAAATTCTCAATAACATGTAAAACCTTCCAGCTGTTCTGAGTTGTTGTACTGGGATGCGCAACCTTACTTGGCGCTCCGCACGGTTGTGAACGCGCCTAAGAAGTGCACCTAATCAGTGGATACAAACCTGGAAACTTTGGGCCGTGAAGCAGAGTATTCAGTTTTATTATTATTATTATTATTATTATTAATTATTGTTAGTTTATTATATAGTATGTTTCACTTTTCGTTTGTGTGCAGTGTTTTGTTTGAACGTGTTTACACGTATGTGTGTGTTATTTGTCTGTTGTCTTATTGCAGTACCACTGCCGCCGGGTGAAAACCCATTTGCAGTTAAATAATAATGATAATAATAATACAATAATTATAACTAAAATATTTACAACCCCTAGCCTGGTTCTATAGCCAATCACAATAGCCGCGCGGTCTAAGGCATGAACTGTCTTCGCCCGCTCAAACATTCGAATCGTGGGTTCGAATCCAACGTGGGGCATGAATGTCTATGTGCGTTTATTCTATGTTTATGTTGTCTGTGTGTAGGTAGCGGCCTTGCGACAGGACTGATCCCCGTCCAAGGAGTCCTACCGACTGTGTAAAAGATCAAGGAACTGAAATATCGGCCAAGGTCCAACAAAAAGGGCTGTAGAGCCATAGACAGATTAGATACATTGGACAGAATGGATATATTGGATAGATAGCCTGTTTCTATGACTCGAAGACTGTTATGTGTCTATTCCTCTATCCGACGGTTGGATTGGTAGCATAGAAGTCAGTGTAACAGGAAAGCAGGCTTTATGCTTTGCACCCGGAACTCCTTGTTGCACATTAAAAATATCAAATTGTAAGTGCATGACCCAACTGCTGGTTAGATTGGATCAACAGTGTCATTTGCTAGTGGGGTGGGACTAAGTCCCTTGTACTGCGGCCACTTCTGTCCTATTGTACCAGCCCCAGATGATGGGTGAGTGTGATTGTGGAGCAATTGGTGGAATGAAGATTGGCAGGGGAAACCGAAGTACTCGGAGAAAACCTGCCCCAGCGCCACTTTGTCCATCACAAATCCCACTTGACCAGACCCGGGAACGAACCCGGGCCGCCGGGGTGGGAAGCCAGGGACTAACCGCTTGAGCTATGGCGCGGCCTATCAACAGTGTTAAGGAGGTGCACGGTTCGAATCTCACATGGTGACTGGCTACAATGAATACGTATTTTCGACGTTTTTCTCATTACTTCCAGATAAATGCCAAGACGTTACCTTCACAGGAACCTTTTTGTTCCCCCATCCAGTTTAATTTCCCGCCCCACAGTTGCAACCAGTTCTATAATATCTGTAGTTCATAAAAAGTAAAAAATCAAGAGGAGACCAAATTTAGGCCTGTACATCAAGCCGTTTACAACTTAATGGCACATAACATCGAGCAGTCGCCTCAAACATGGCTGTTTACGGAATCTGTGTTAGGATATGGATGCAAGTAAATAATTGAATAGCATTAAGAAATTCAGATATGCAAATAACTGTTGTAATTGCAGTCGTACTCTCCCTAAAGGGGATGAGAAAAAATGAGGATATTTGATATGAAAGCAATGAAAAAAAAATCTGGGCCAACCAGAGAGGAGGAAGGTTGGCGAATTCAGTACAATTACGAGTTGCACGACTTATTCGTATATATAAAAAAAAAAAAAAAAAAGTAAAGGTGTCCCTGTAACAGGCCGTGGAAGCCCATAGGGTTGTGAGACGTCGAGGGTCCCACATTTCTTTCTAGACAATCGGCTCATATATGGCGGTGAGATCAGCCTTACGTGCCGGCTGCCCTTTACCCCAAGAATATTCCTGGTACTCAATTCTGTTAGAGGCCGAGTCGACCCAAGGGCCATAGTGCGGTTGGAAGGATTAGGTCAATTGAAAAGAAATCCACCTCATCGGGACTCGAACCGACGACCTTCCGGCTTGTAGCATAGTGCATGAACAAACTACGCTACCGCCTGCCTCCCTTATTCGTATACATAAAAATTACTTTTCAGTTTTCAGAAGACGGATAGCGTAAGTAGGGGGGCCTTTATTTTTAAGTAAGCAATGTTCTACGCAAATGTACAAAATTTCAGTTAATACTGTCTGAGAGAAAATCAACAAAAAGCCCAAAGAGATGATGTCTGAACTTCGCAATACGTGCAGTATTAACAAAATGCAAGACTGTATTAAATTATAGTATTACTCTTTGAAACTGCATTTTGGTTCGAATACAGGTCATAGTATGACTATTCATTCTAGTTTTATTTTATTCTTTACCTTCCACATTGGAGGGTTAAAATGTTACGTTTTTAGGATCTTACGTATTACGTGACGACTCCTGTCCATCATAGTCTGTTCTGTGTGTCCCGGTCTCACAGAAGAGTCTACTTGGCCAAAAGAATTGTGAACAATTAAATAAATGTTTCTCCGATAAATTTTAAAAACGTAAATAACGAATTCATAAAAACAGAAACCAAAATAGTCCGTGGAACAGTTTCTTTTAATCTTGTTGGTTTGAAATTTCATTACAGTTAGGCCACTGTCTGTGGCTTCCCAGAAACTGAGGAAAATGCCAAGATAATCACAGATCCTCCACTGATAAATATCACTTCAACAGATGTGGAGAATATTAACCAAACTTTTGAAATTGTAATAATTTTTGGCTCACTGATTCTAAGAGCGTGCAACAGTTTCATGAGCACCGGTGGATTCTTCTGCTCGGCAAGTATGGCCAATTGCTGTGGCAAACTGAAGAAGGAAACAATACAAGAATTAAAAATTCGGAGATGAGAAACTCATAATGAAGATCACATTGTAGAAGAAGGAACCGAAGATTTCAGGTTTTCATAGCGGATTCGACGCTAATGTGAGTTCTGAGCAATGTCATCGTGTTGATGTTGGCTGTACTGCTAATGTATGTGAAGCCTCTATTTTCGTCTTGAAGACGGAAACATTAAGGATTCCGAAACGTTGGTAATTCAGCCCATTCTGTGTAGTGTCATCACTCAGAAACGGATTCTACATTAAAAAGCAACTGGTTAAAATTCTCGAAACCGATAGCGAGAATGTGGTGAATTATGTCGTATTGGTGCCACGTACGGGTGATCGTCCCTCGCCGGCCGTGTGTTCGATATGGTCGGTGGGACTTTCGTCCGTTTGCGTCACCCTGAAAACCTACGAATGATAGACGATATTTCTTCTATCTTCCAGATCCAGTTGATCACGCAACCTCACTTTAACCCATCAATGCAATTCGCTGTTATTTACGAACATTTTCGTAGATCATCTGCAGTGGCTTAATGGCGCTAGTTTTATCAGAAAAATGGGTAAGAATTCGGTGAGCTTAAAGAAACTCGCAGAACACGAACAGGTGGTCTTACCTCTATAAGCTGTAAGGAATGACTGTTCGCGAACAGTCACAATTAGAGTAAAATACATGTTCATAATCGCAAGCAAACTCAGAGTTCAAACTCACCTGACATGTGAATTATGTTTCATGCATACTAACGATACAAGTATGCCAGCATGTTCCCTTCATATCTACTTTTAAACTCCGAAAGTGTTACCAGTTTATCAATTGAATGTTCTCGTTTCACAATCACTTCACAATCACAACACTTAATTTATCGTAATTTGATTTTCACGAAAGATATAACCTTCAACCCGACTAGTCAAGCTGTTGTTACCGATGTACCTATGTCTGAGCCCTTCGAACACGATATCCCGTTTGAATTCTCCGCACCGGAAGGAACGGGTATTGCATGTGATCACTTCTACAACCAAGTTGTAAGGAGGGGGGAATCCGGTTTAGCGATAAAAAGAACAAATAAATACTCGTAAGTAAATAAATATGAGTCTTTTCATTGTTTGGTATACTTTTATTGCATAAAATACTGACATAAATTATATTCAAATAGGATTTCTTGGTTTTGTTGTACTATACGAGATCGTTGTCATTGAAACAGGTTGACTGTGTGCTCTAAGTAAATATTCCCACTCCGTTCAGAGGAGAAGGGAAGGAGATCAGCTGGTAGAAATTTCCTTCTTTGTAGTAAGGTTTATATTTCATCCACGTGTACTTGGTTATTGATTAAGGAATAACGGTGAGTAGTATATATTCAGACAATAAAATAGTGTTAATGATCAACTTTTACTTCCTCTGTAATGATATGGCATTTATGTCTGGCATTATTCAGTCATATTTCGTTGAATAGTATGTAAAGGGAAGTGAGCAAAGTTCACCTTCCCCATGATACCATTTATATAATCACGAATGCTTACAAAACCTTCGGTGCCAATTAGAAGGAAGAACACACGACATTGTATTGTGTAACATTTCTTTGCGCCCAGTAGTTCAAAATTTCAGAGATGACCCGCTCATGCGCTCGGAACGGATCGCAAAGAGTGACAGATTTGGAAGTTCAATTTTGGCACGGATCATGTCTTCCGCATCTGTTCACTTCCATGAGGCACACATCACCAAAACGGGGTAGAAGATAAGGCGCCTCGTAGCTTATGCCTTGCATGAAATTAAATGAAATATGTCATTTAACGAAGCTGTTGGTGTTAAAACTATTCAGCGTCGATGATAGGATCATATTGAATGTCGAGCAGTTGTGGAATGAAAACTACCGGCACCCAGTGCCACTTGCCCACCATAATTCTTACACTGCCTGACCTAGGATCGAACCCAGCCACAGTGGTAGGATACCTTGTATTGGGAACCAAAATGTTGAGAATAAATTTTATGAAATCTAATACTGGGAAATAAAGGTAAAATTGTGCCTATGTTACCATGAAGGCACACAGGACAAGTGGAGGCATTTTCAATCTTGGCATTAAAATGTGGTCAGTGGTTACTTTTACACTTCAGCCATCTTATCCCCGGTACCCACTGGATATGAAGTTGATCTGTAAAAAATAACAATGAAAAAATCCCGCCTCTATTGGGTATCAAGCTTGTTACAGAAAATCAATCCTGGATCTATAGAAAGTATCAAAAAATTTAAATCCATGTGTATACTTTTGCACAAAATATATTGGTATTAAAGAATCTTTCAGGATATCCACCAGATCAAACCAATTCCAAAAAGGCCTACAAAACTCAGAGTGTTTTATATTTTTCTTTGATGTTAAAATGCATATTTTGAATTGGGGCAGCAACACTTATGAGAAACTGTTGATTATTCATTGAAGTCTTATCATTATTCGAATTTAAAGACATAAAATACTGCTGGAAGGATTACTCTCTGCCCTACCCTGACATGAATTTGGATTGAAATATACTGTTGAAGAATCAGCTACATGATTAATACAAATGAAACATTGCAGCTCTACACAGTAGACATTTACTGACCTTTTGATGCTGACAGTGTTTTGGCAGAGTTAATAGTAATTATATTAATGAATTTAAAACAAATATTTCTGTTCATACTTCAGTCAGGTTACTTTTCTTCCTCTGACTTCAAGTGACTGGCTGTCATACTGGCACAGTACCCATGGTGTAGTGATCAGTATTCAAAGGGCTCTGGGTTTCATCCCAACTGTTGGCACTAATATCAAAATTAATAATATAATATTTAAACAAACTAAACTATCTTAACCAGAGCTGATAAGATTGCTGCAATAAGTGACAACTTCATCTTGTTTACATAAATTAATACCCAGCAGATTGCTGCATTATAAAGCACGATGGCTTATGGGTGTGCAGAGCTGGACATATGAACATAAAGTATATGACATCATAGGAGAGCAGGGTTCAAATATCTAACCTGTCTGACAAATCAATCTGCTATGAACTTTCACAAGCCACTGAAGTGAACTGAAATGAAACACTACTGTAACAGGAATAGCCATGGGAAGCCCCAGACCAAAGCTGCGTATCATCACATACATGTGCCCTAGTCATCCAGTGGAGCTGTATGAGCTGATTTTGCAGTATCTAGAGGAAGAAGTTGGGTTTGAGGCTTCACTTCTGTATGAGTCTAGAGGCTCAGGACCACTCCCTGACAGAGTAGATCCATTCACGGATGACGCAGTCGATATAGGTGAGTTGGTAAAATTGTAGACTCAGTATTCCACTGTTTGTGCAAACATACTTGCATGACATAATTTGATAATACTCTTGTTTTTTTATGAAGCTGATTAACCTTCCACACTTTGTGCAATGTCATAGTCCCATCTCAAAATCCTATGGGCCTCCACGGCATGTTACAGGGCTAACTTTACCTTTTCTTATGATATTCATTGCTTGCATAGCAATTACAAAAAGTATACATGTGGTTTTCACCATGGTAATTCACTCGATCATGCATCTGTGTTTTAGAATAAGACATTTTATGGATCCTGCCATTACGAAACAGAGGACAGTGCTAATTGCAGAACGATATTAAACAGTATTTTATAATTCCAGGGTAAGGAAATTGCTGCATTTGTGTTATATGCATAACACGAGCAAAAAGTGTGGTCCAGAAATGTGTTGTGTATGTCTATATATCAATAATTGAAACTACTGGGGCTGGGAGAGGATGCCTCTTGCTTGTTGTGCAAAACTGGGTTCATAGAATTAGGTTTCATGTGACAAGACTATTTTGTAGAAAAGCCAGATGTACGAGTATATTACTGTCACGTGTATTAGTGACCAGCAACGGATATATACATCACTTAATATCTGGTAATTTAAATCAAGCTAATTACCATGATATAAAGCTGTTCATGACTGCTTAAAGAGATGTCACCTTTAAGTGGAGTTGTGATATTGAAAACTAACTGGAAAGTAGGAATGAGTAAGTTAACGAACCTGATAATGGATGGTTAAGACATGAAGGGTTAGACATGCATAAGGATACCTAGCAGAAAAATAAATGAGCTTTGTTTCGGTGCTCTCACATACAAATCAATCAATTCCTCCGTTATTTAATTATGTTTTTCCAAATGAATGATTACATAGGATCAAATTAGATTACTGCCAATTATGAACTGGGCATGGCCTATTTTAAGATACTGTTCCACCATCTGCCTGGAGGACTGAGGAAAATCACAAAAAATCCCAGTCTGCATAGCCAGCCTGCAGATTGAATTGAACCTGGCACCTCCAAAATACAAAGCAGAAGTTCTGACTACTCAGTTGCAATGTTTGGTCAGTCTTTTCAAGCTCTCAGCAATGAATAAATACTCAAATTGTGATGAAATGTCTTTAGAGAACAAACACTGTAAAAACTTTACACAAATGTTAATAGCATTTAAGTAAATTTATGTTAAGCAGTCAACTGTGTTAGTTCCCTTGGAACAGCAGAGAATGAAGGGTAAAACACTATCAGCATTTCAGAGAAACCTGGTGCCTACTGAGTCATAATCAGTACCTGGTCACTTTAAAACGTTATCAGTGTTTTCTTTCCCTGACATGATGCTATTCCCATGTGATGCAATTAAGAGACTATAAAAGCCTAAAATCTCATATATATTTTCCCAGGTTTTATGTCTACATCAGCTTATGTTAAGCTACTTGACATGCAGAACAAATACGTTGCATTGCTACCAGTCACAGCTGTATTTGATCACCCCAAGAACACCGAAGGAGTCAAGGGTTATTATTCTGATGTTATTATTCATGTGGATGGACGGTGAGTTATAATTATCAGTCTGCGTGATGATTTTATTGGAATTGTTGATGGACTTTCACTCTTACAGTGTTTATGGGGTAATTCTGACAAAGTCCAGAGTGAGAACAGAAAAGAAAATATTGCCACATTTCAGTGATCTTATCCTGTGAAACTATTTGTAATTTTGCCAATAGAACAATTAAATAGAAAGTCTGGTTTCATTCCAGAAAACATGTGAAGGAGTTCTTGGATCTCCGTGGCTGTAGGTGGGCATACAGTGATGAGGGATCACTGAGTGCAAGCACAGTGATCCTGAAAACTCTTAAAGAACTGGGTGAAAATGCTTCATTCTTTGGCAACACCTTGAGTGAGTAGATTTCTTTAAGTACTGGAGCTCTGTTAGCATTCCTGTCTTCATTTTGCATCAGTAATTACAACTTTTACATACCTGGGTAAAACTGACTCACTCTTTGGCAGTACTTGTGGGAAGTACATTTACATATTAAACTATGTCTCCATTTCTGCTTCAACTCTTCGATCTCACTCTTCCTACAACATTTTGGCACTCATATTTCAAAAGTACAATATTCCCTTAGTACTAATACCATTATTGTTCAACATCAAGCTGCCAACCCAGCATTTAAGCCCTTATTCTGGTTGACTACAGGTTAAATATCTCCGGCACATTTGTAATGTTAAACATGCTGTATAAAGGAATTTAGATGAAATAGTTATTATAGAATTACAGAAAATTTAAATGGATTGGTATAGGATAAATTTTTAAAATTCATAGGTTTTCATAACATCTCTTCACTTTTAACCTAAAAACATTATCAAATGATATTTCTTCCACTGTCTAGCTGTCCAAAATTGACATCATAGTTTCAAGTTGCCATATTTCCACAGACATTGCAACTGACAAAGCCTTTTGCTTCTTAGGATCAGGATCACACCTGAATTCTATCCAGATGGTTCTCACAAAGCAAGCTGAGGCTGCAGCAATAGATGCAAATGCCCTTGCCTGGAATAAAAAGTACCTGCAAGATGAAGGAAAGGACATACAAGTGCTGCACAGTATTGGACCACTTCCACCATATCCTGTTGTTGTCAATAACCGAATGGATAGTGAGTATAATGGTTGTTGGCAAGGAAGTCATGAGGCGCAGACAGATCATCTGCAAATGGAAACTGTGTGCACTATTGTCACTGAATTGTGCAGGGTCTTCCTTCAGAAGTTAATGCTTATTCAACTGATGAAGACATTCCATTTTTGTGGAACCTGAAGGTTCATCTCTATGTTCATATATCACCACTGGATCCAATCCTGAGCTTCTTGAAATCTTTTCACATCCTGTTTCTCTAAGATGTATTTTAATATTACCATTCCAACTAAAATATTTGGTGTAATAAATAAGTTTCCTGACTGGCTCCGATGTAAACAGCTACAGTTAGGACAACATTCCTCTGCTAACCAGAGACAGAGTACAGTCTGTTGTGTCATTTACCTTTAAATTCATTTTGCAACATACCTGGTGAAGTCAGACTGTATGTTGTGCCCTCTGTGATTTGTATTTTGTTAGAAAATGGCAAATTTCAGAGAACACCAACTTCAAATTAGCAAAAGCTGCAACAGAACCCTATAAGAAATTTGTTTTTTGAGAGGAAAAAAATGAGCAGAACTAANGTTAACATCACATATACACGGTGCCAAATCCCAGAAGACTGCTTTCTTCATAGTCACCACCGTGAAAGCCTCAAATCTTACATAAAAAAAACTTTTGATTGGTTTTCCAAGTGGAGTGATATCAATTATTGATGTTGGGATGTCTATCCATGAGGAGAAGAGATGGAAATGTGGCACAAATCAAGAAGCTTTTTCATCTCACTATTGATGACTTCGCTGAATCTCATTTGTGTCACACCAAATAATTTTGACAGTGGCTGAACATGCTATAGTTGGCTGCAAAATTTGTGTGCCTGCTGATAACAGAGGCAAATTGTGTCAGTGTTTGTTAGAGGGCTTCAGGAAAAGTCAGCCTCACTACTCCCGTTGCAACTTTTCTGTTTTTTTCCAAAATTCAAGCTGGCATTGATGGGACAAAGATTTGATGACACAATTATCAAAAAATAATTACAAGATGGACATGCAGATTTTTATATACCAGGATTTCTGCAAATGCTTTCACTGGATTTCCTGCATCAGGTTGCAAGGGAACTACTTCAGAGGGGACAAAGAAAACACATTCCTATATGTATATATGTCTGAGAGAGAGAGAGCAAGCAAAAAACAATCTGGAGATAATTCCATTGCACCACATAGGTCTCCTAACTGGTTTCCTCTCATGTTCTACATGTTCAGCTCATCATATCCTTCTTGATTTCATTACCCCAATTACGTGAAGAGGAAACAAAGCCTTTTCCATTCTTCTCCTTCTTCCCATATACACGCAGATCCTCTTGTATTTGTGTCCGCATTTTCTCTACTCTTTAATGCTTTATCATTTTGTCCCTCCAGCCACTCCATTTCCCCTTGGACTGTATGAATCTCATTTTCATGTCATAAAAAATTATACTGCCATTTCATAACACTCTAACACAAGCTCACACTTAAACCTTAATTTGGCCAATTTTTCTTGTCGTGTTTCTGACTTTTTTATTCATTCATTTATTCAGCATTCCATAAATCCTTACATGGTTAAACACCAATGGATAAAGAAATAGTAAACATGATCACATACTGCATCACAATTGTGTAATGTCATACCAGTTAAAAATATTAACAATATACAACATGAACAAAAACCATTGTCTATAACAATTAAGCACTATCAACTATCACCCGTAACAAATCCGAAATTTTAATTGTTGTCACAGTTAAAATATTTGTCCAATGAATAAAATGAATTTAAAAATAGGAATCTTTTAACAGCAGACCTAAATTTTTTAATCTCATGAGCTTGGTCTTTTATATTGGGTGGAAGTTTATTAAAAATTTTAATTCCAAAATAATATGTTCCCTTTTGAAAGACAGTTAAGTTACACAAGGGATAATGGAGGTTATTACTATGTCTTGTGTTGGTTATATGAATCTCAGAATTAGATGAAAATAGATCTTTGTTTTGACCACAAATAACAAAATGGGAAAAAATGTACTGTGAGTAAAGGGGCAGAATCTTTAATCTCTTAACAACTCCCTACAAGAATCTCTACTTCTGGAATTGGTGATGACTCTTATTACCCTCTTCTGTAGTCTAAAGATACAGATGCAGAGGGGTGAATTAACATCTTTGTGAGCTGAAAGACTGTCACCTGCATAGTCAGAGCCATGCAAATCTCACTTGTGATAGCTCAGTTAAGATCTCCTTATGAGCTTAAAGCTGCATGATCATTCAAATTCCTGGCTGATCCTAATATTTTTCTCCTTGCCAGCACATCTATATTGGCCCTTGGACCCACCCAACCCCAAGTTCAGTGGATTCCAAAGGTAAAATGGAGTTTAAAGTTGACCACTCACTTTCACCTAGTACTTCATTTAAGAAGAATGTGTGGAGGTTTACCTCTGTGCCTTCTCTACACTTTCACAGCTTACTGCTTAGACAAAGATTCAGCTTTACTTTTACTTCTTTGTTTCTTACTGCTCTGTTGAATGTACTGTGTTGGATTTGAGGTTCCCACAGTGGTGACTATGAAGAGTGCTAACTTCTGGGGTGTAACACCATGTATTCTCGCAAAAGTCCACCAGTGTCTTTGACGAATATACTGCCTCCATCTTCAGGGTCAAAGGAAGCCAAAGACAAGCAAGAATCCAGCAAGAAGTGGCAAGCAGAGCAGCTCACACTGCTGCCGCCTACTTGGCTTACTCCTTAATTCTGAAGATGCTACAAGCAAAGTCAGTATGCTCCTCCAAAATGTCGGTTGGCTTTTACTGGACTACATGATGTTATATCCCAAGACAGTAACCTCAATCTGCTTCACATGTTAAAACAGGTAAACAGCATCTAATACAATGGTATTTTTATTTAGGATCCACAAAGGAAAATATTCTCCAAGCACTACTAAAAATGCCAGGGACCAGACTGTGGGGAAGCCGGCTGAAGAAATTTGGAATAATGAAATTTGTTCCTAACAGTCCAGACGATTATCAGGAAGAAAGGCAGATACATGAGGCAGTAAAAGATATGTCACTGGGCATGCGCTACTACTAAATAACCTATGGGCATATAACTTTATACAATTCTTGAAAATGGCAGTAACTTAACACAATGCATTCATTAGAATAGTCAATTTTGCTAACACCGTAATGTTTGAAATATTAATGTATTTTTGACTTAAATGATATATTAATTATAAACTCTATTTCAAACTACACATTCAAATTTGCTAAGAATGAAAACTTTTAATAATGTACATATGTGAGAAGTTAATACTGTTATGTATATTTTGAATTAATTTATTTTGAAAAATGAAACCTATGAACTTACTTAACCCTTGCTGCAACTAAACATGATAATCTCTGACTCCTCTGCACATAGACTTTGTATAAACAAAAGGGTGTAGTTTCTCTAAAATGTGTGGCCAAAGTAAATGTATGTAAGATTAACATTACAGAAGGGCTGACATATTAAAATATGGAGATATATAAAGAATGGGTTAAAAAAATGACAGAATTTTAAATGTGAATTCTTCTTTTTAACTACTTGACACAGGAATGAGACCAACCATACGTTTTTCCCACCACTCAAAATTGTGTTCACGAGCAAGAGGACCCGAAAGTGGATGTATGATTTGCTCTACTGAGGGAAATGTACTGCTCTGTTCCCTTGGTGGGATGATAAATAGACAAACTGATGATGTCATATGATGCTGAAGAGGTTTTGCATGATAAACAGAAAAATAACAGTTATGTTGTAGCATTTGTGAGATATGTAAATGATGGTTAAATCAGAGAAAACTTTTTCTGTTGCAGAGAGCTGCCTGAAACAGGCAAAGTGCAAGATATACTTAATGTCTTGCCTTCATATCTGGAAACAAATGTCTATCTTGGGAGAACCATGTAGGCATCTGTATTGATGGTTGGCTCCATCAGAGGTTTCACCTCTCTTGTAAAAAAATAAAATCCTGATGTCACAACACACTGCTTTATTCACAGAGAGGTGCTGGTTTCATAAATCTTTGGGGATGAAATGAAGAAAGTTTTGGATGATGCAATAAAAATGGTTAACTGTATCAAAGACCAAGCCACTTCAGAATGTTAAAAAGAAATTGTGTGAAAACCTGAACAAACAGAACATTAACTCTCCTGCTACATGTACAATCTGCTGTTTTAGCAGAGTAAGAGTTCTCAATAGGGTGTCTGAGCTGAAAAGGTGAACTGCAAGATTACTTTCAAGAAAACAGAAGACCAGATTTTGCAAAGTGCTTCAAAGAATGGCTGCAAAAACTAGCCTACTTAGCAGACATTCTTCATCACATGAACCAGATGAACAAGTTTCTGCAGTGTCCTGGAGAAAACGTTTTGACTTCAAGTGACACCATTTTCAGATTTAAAAGATAACTGAATCTTTGGAAAAATCATGTTGTGAAAGGAAATCTTTAAATGTTTCCACTGCTGCTGGGACTTCAGAGTGAAGCAGAATATCACAAAGTCTCAAGACTTACTGAACATCACCATGAAGAACTGTGGAAAAAAAACTAAACATATTTTCCCTCCCTTTCAACACATGTGTATGACTGGGTGAGGAGCCCTTACTCTGAATCATCTGCTCAGCCTAAGAACTTCGCTTTAAGAGAAGAGGAAGAACTCTGTGAGCTGCAGTCTGATTGTACACTCAAATTTGAGATTTACCGACCTATCCCTGGACAAGTTCTGGATGTGAAAGAAAAGTATCCTGCCATTCAAATGGAAGCAATACACATACTGCTGTAGTTTTTGGCTTCTTACATGTGTAAGCAAGCTTCTTCTTGTTTAACAAGCAACAAGAACTGAGACAGAAATTGTCTCATTTCAGTAGAAGATTAAGTCCATGTGTGTGGCCCGGGTTCGATTCCTGGTCTGGTAAAGTGGGATTTGTGGTAGACAAAGTGGTGCTGGGGCAGGTTTTCTCTGAGTACTTCGGTTTCCACTGCCAATCTTCATTGCACCAATTGCTCCACAATCACCCTCGCCTATCATCTGGGGCTGGTACAATAGGCCAGAAGTGGCCGCAGTACAAGGGACTTAGTCGCACCCCACTAGCAATAAAAAAAAGGCCGTGTGTTCTTACCCAGAGTTCGACCCAGAATTAAGCATCTGTTGCAGAAAACAATTACAGGTTCCAGATTAAAGAAGTAAATGTTATTATTTGCTTTAGCTTAGAAAATAAATGTCTTAGACGATATTTCTCTTCATATTGCTTTTATTTATCTTATGGTTTTCAGTAACCTTATTGTTTAACATTGTCAACAAATTTCCATGTTGTAAATATCACTAATTAAGACCAATTTATAACCTTTATTTACATTAAATTCAGATCCTACCTTTATAAATAAAAATAAAAATAAATAAAACTATCCCTGTAACAGGCCGTAAAGGCCCACTGGGTTGTGAGACATCAAGGCTCCCACATTTTCTAGACAACTGGCTCACAAATGGTGATGAGGTTATCAGCATTAAGCACCAGCCGCCCTTAACCCCCAGGAAGATTCCTGGTACTCGTTTATAATAATTGTTACGCAGGGGTTCCCTGAGACCTGTAATTTATTTCAAGGGTTCCTCCAAGGTAAAAAGGTTGAGAACAGTTGGTCGAGAGTAATAGGTTACTAAACTAAACATGTAACTTCAAAGTTGTTTAACCTTTATGAGCCGAAAGACACCGTATGGGGACCTTTAAAGTAAAGCCGAGTGGCCGAAAGAAACCGTATGGTGACTCACAGTCCACGCGTGCGCACAGTGTTTTAAAATCTAATTTTAAGATAGAAATTCTTGTTCTACTTACACTATTTTTGGACACCAGCTTTATAAGTAGACTGTCTTCCCTCCTGCATCATCTAACTGAATGTTGCATGTCACTGAATGCAGAGTCCGACATCGCAATTCATGCACTTTGTCCGTAATTAACTCTGTTTTCCACGCGAAGCGCACACACGCAACATCAGTCTCGTATTAGCAGGAAGTCAGCCAGGGTTGCCGTTTGTCTTCTCTAATCATAACGCTTATAAAACATCGCAATTTGAACTATCCCCCAGGGCCCCATTTCGCATGGAAGAAACCGAAGTTGATAGGCAGCTGATAAATGTCACCGATTTAGGCCATAGCCACATGAGCAACATTTACTGCTCGAAATCCATGACAAATGAAGCTGCTGCAACTGTCGCAAATGAGGTGGCCACACTAGAACAGTAATTACCGCTCTTGGGAGCGTCAAACATCGCTACTAGGTGGCCACATGGAGCCGTCTGCGATACTGAGCATCAATAGTCATCATGTCACAGTGTGTGCAAAATATGGCGAGTAGTAGGCTACTGAACAGACAAGCAGTATCCGCATTATGTTTATTATTAATCTGTCGTCGACGCTGAAAACAGCTACAGCAGATGAGAAAGTGGTGGATCCATCCTGTGATGAGTGACAGGTCAGCGAGGTGGAAATTTGTGCTACTACATCACAGGTTAATGGAATATCCCGACAAATTTCTTGAATATTATAGGATGACAATCAACTCATTTAAAATACTCTTATCCCTCGTGGAAGATACCATTTGTAAAACTCCATAGCGATTCACTATCAAATGGAAACAAGACTCAAGTACCAAATAAAGCATGCGACAAATGAAGCTCATGTGGCCAGGCGAACTACCGACAAATACAGCTAGAAAATGGGCCGAGACCCATCCGTCCACGACGCGACCTTCAAATTGCTCCCTCTACCAAGAAACCAGCGTTATTTACTGCTCCGTGTGGCCCTTCTCATTTAACTCCAGGGTGCGTATTTCTTGAGCTTAATATGTCGCGGATTTCGAGCAGTAAATGTTGCTCGTGTGGCCGTGGCCTTAGAATGCAGTACATAATACTCTGAAAGTGTGTGGAACAAGGGGGGGGGCCTTTCTAAGAAGCTTAACAGTACTTCTTGTGTGGCAAATAAACACATGCACAGTTTCTGAGGGATGTGACCTCACTCATGTATAAAGAAACTTTGGAGTGCTATAAAAGCATAAACATTTCCTCCCCTTTTACCGGATAAGAAGGTACCATCATGAATGATGTCAGCAGTGAGGCATTTCTACAGCTGAAACGCTTTGTGCAGAAACTGTATGCATATTTGTGGACACGTTCGAAATTGAGGGAAAAATTTTTTTTTTGGAATCAGTGTAACAATTTTTACAGATTCTAAAATCTGCAAATTACAATATTTGATTCTATATTCTTTCTAGATAAAAGCAGTGTTTATTTCGTTCGTTTATCACAAAAATTGCAGAAATCACAGCATTTTCAGTAACATGATTACAATTTTTATTACTCTACAATAGCAGGCATTTAAATTAACTCATGCCCGCTGCCATTACCGGAATTTAAATGGTCCATCCCTTAATGGTTAAATATATCATTCTTAAATACTTTCACAAGAGTTGTAAATGTCACACAGGCTAAGGCAAGAGAAACATAACTATTTGTTTGCAAATCAAAATTTTATATCACAACCATATAAGAAGGACATTATAGTCAACAAATCTGCAAAAATTAATCGATGTGACATATCACCAAAAATTAGGTGGCAATATACCAGCAGGAGGAGGAATGTGACCTTGTTTTAAAATCTTCTGCAGGAAGGCTTCAAGTCGAATAATGGGTCCACTTGAAACTGATGGTGCAATCTATAAACATAACATAATGTCATCAGAATGCAATGCTCTGTCTAGTCTTTAAAGCAATTTGGTGTTGCTGAGCCTGTCACAACACCACCAGAACCATTTTATCCACCTTCTCTGAAGTTCCTAATAGGCCTTGCGAGAAGGATTGTCACAAGAAAAACTGGTCAAGAATACAATAGCAATGTGGACACATGGGTTTTTCATTCACAGAAAACGGATTTGAGACTAGAATGGGTACACAAGCATTTCAATAGCATGGCTGGGTCAACAATGAAGATGTCAAACAACTGAGGAGACCAGAGACCATGTTGAGAGACCAAATGCAGGAAGACTCCCCCTTCCCCCCCAAAAAAATGGGGAGGAGAAAGTCCATAGATATGCAAGAGGATCATTTAGGGAAAAGGAGGCCATGCCACTGCCCAGGCAGTTAGTTGCCAGCTTCCTACCACAGCAGCCAGGGCTTGATCCCAGATCAAGTCATATGGTGGACAAAGTGGCACTGGGGCAGGTCTCCTCCAAGTTTCCCCTGCCAATTCTCATTCCACCAATTGCTCCATACTCATCACCTGAAGCTGGCACAATGGACCAATTAATGGCCATCATACCAAGTGGATTCAGTCGCACCGTTCCCCATGAAATTAAACTAAATAGGAAAAGGGAAGGAGGAACACCCATGAGATGACCCACACTGCAATCATCTAAGAAAAATGGTGGTCATGCATGATTTTACAATTTGTAATACCACAAAAAATCTTCTAGTAATCATATTATTAAAATGTTATACAAGTCTGGTCAGAAGAATACGAGAGGGGACCCAAAAATAACCGGAAACAACCTGTTGCGCATGCATGCTTTGTAGTTACAAGTTGTGCTGCTAGGTGGTGTTAGCTGGGGGTCTCCCGCGACTGTTAGTGAGCTGGCGTCAGTCTGAGTTAAGTGGTTTGTCTGTGGTGCTCTGTTGTGTGCGTTCCTGTTTCAACCCTTTGGCGATTAGNTCATCGCCAGTCACAATTCTTTTAAGAAATTCTGGATCGTTCTGCACTTCACTCTTCAAGTCGCGGCAAACATTCACGCGGTTTTCTCTTTGGTCATCTCCAAGCAAGCGAGGAACAAATTTTGCAGACACTCGTCTCATGTGCAAACCTTCGGTTAAAATTCACTGGACCGTGCTCCATGAGATGTTCGTTTCCTCAGAAAGTTGGTCAATGGTCTTTCGACGATCTTCATCATTGCACGTTTGATTTTTTCAATGTTTTCGTCATTTCTTCCTGTCGAAGGACGCCCGGGGAGTGGCATGTCTTCTGTTGACATGTTGCAGATTTGAAAGGGGAAAACCACTCATAGACCTGTGATTTCCCCAAAGCATCATCATTAAAGGCTTGCCGAAGCATCCCAACAGTCTCGGCTGCAGTTTTCCCTAACAGAAAGCAAAATTTCACGCAAACTCTTTGTTCCTTCTGGTCGGCCATCTCACTAATGGCCAAAGGGTTGAAATAGGAACGCACACAACAGAGCACCACAGACAAACCACTTAACTCAGACTGACACCTAGCAGCACAACTCGTAACTACAAAGCATGCGCGCGCAACAGGTCGTTTCCGGTTATTTTTGGGTCCCCCTTCGTATGTGCATATCCATTGCATGTGAATATAAGGTTGCTATATCTCAGAAAATAATGACATTTCAAGTATAACGTCATGGTTGGAAATTCTTGCTGCCATGTCATGTATACAAGACTACAACTTGGCAACACAGCATAGATAGAGTAGCAACAGTCATCAGATAGTTTTCAGAGTGGCTGCAAAGCACCTCTGGTTGCTGATGGTAAAGCAGACTCTGCCAAGTCACTTGCTCTTAGTTTCAAAGTTGTGGCTTGTGTCATTGAGAAATGACACAATGACCTTATGAAATGAGATGTCTGTGATTTGCGTTTTATCAGAAAACGGCAGATTTCAAAGAACAGTTTGTGCATCAAGTTCTACTTCAAACTGCCCACAACTGCTACGGATGGTAAAATTTGCTTTCGGTGAGGAAACAACAAACTGAACTCAAACATTCTATTGATTTCCAAGGACAGAAGTGAAGTGAAATCTGGCCATAATGCTGAGCATTCGAGATGTGTTTTCATAACCGAAACATATGAAAATGTGGGTTGAATCATGGAACTTGTTCATGAAAATAAGTGGGTTACTTCAAAAGTCATGGCAACATAACTTTTCCCAAATTTTGAAAGCTCCGACCAGAATTTCCAAATTTGCTGCTGAGAGACAGCAACGTCTGATTTCTAATGATGCCACTAGATGATGCGGAAGTCCAAGGACAATGAAGCAAGTCCAGCGCAAAGTCAGTGATAATAACGTTTGTCGATAATGAATGTTAGCCGGCTGGAACAGCGTTATTACGTGAAAATAGCAGTGCTTTGTGGCAGAAATGCGACTGAATGTCACTCAGAGCTTGAAGAAGCTCTAGGTAATCGTGCTCTACCATACAAAACTGTTGCAAGGTGGATAGAAGCATTCCAGTGTGGAAGAGAAGCAAGTGCCAACTTGCAATGTAGTGGATGCCCTGTGTCCATTTGTACCGATGTTTCTTGTGCCGTGATCGCCCAGTGCATGGAGGAAGATGGGTGCTGGTCTCTGAAGGAGTTAGAGAGGCATACAGGGATTGACCACGCAACTGTGCATCGAATTTTACGAAAAGACCTACATATGCGCAAGACTGCAGCAAAGTGAGTGCCACACGAATTAAACAAGGTTCAAAAGTGGACACGTTATGAAGCAAGTTGTGTGAACCTCGAACGATATGAAACTGAAGGAGACATTTTCTTGAATTGGATAATTTCCATCGATGAAACATGAAACATTGAATTTTTTATTTCTCAATCACAATTGAATTTTTTGTGGATTAAAAAATTAAAAAGAAAATAGTCATTCCATAATGTGCAACTTTTCTTGCCTACTATACCTACACCCTTCACATCTACCTGATCTGACTAAGCCAATCAGAGGGGTATATTATGCCCTTTCATAAGTATATTTTGAACTTTCTTCACTGTAACATGTTTGCCTCCCAAAAATTAGTTGTCATGACTTTTGAAGTAACCCACGTATATGCATCATTATTTGTAACTTGGCTGATGAGGCGTGACTCTCATTTGCATCATGTTAAAGCATTCTGTCACGTGTGTGACAGATTGTTGCATACATTTCTGCCTTGTCTGCTGACTGAAGAGCAAAAGCAGAATCATGTCAAGATGTGCCACAATCTTGTTGGGGTGGGGGGTCAGAGAGAGACCCCTAGTTCCTTTCAGAGGTCATCACAGTCTGAAGCAGAATGCACATGCACTACTCTCTGAAATCTGTCACTTTCTGATAAAGTGCAAATCTCAGAGGATACAATACAAATCTTACTTGAGAGAAACAATCTCTGATTAATACAAGTGAACTTTGAAATGAACAGCACATGACTCAAAGGATTTTACTCTACCATCACCAGGCAAAGGATTTTTTTATTGTAGAAAAAATATTGTAAATATAAAAAAGGCTTCTCCTAGCTGCAGTACTGTCATCTTGTGGCCAATCCAGGAACCATATGATACCATTACATATTTCAGATTGTTGGGTAGCAGACCTGCGTATTTAATTAATATAAGCAGCCGTTAAGTGATTCAGTACACAGTATGAGATGAACAGTGACAGAGTGGTGATATTTCTAGAAGAATAATGATTAATTTGGAAATTAAGACAATCTTGAGAATTGCGGAAATTGTGATAACCAATAAGGTGAGTATGTATTATTAATAACATTCAAAGGAAAAGAGCATAAGCTTTACAAAGCATTTTCAGTAAAAGTAAATTAAAACTCTTAAGACTGAGCCAAAGGATAGAAGTATGACAAGGAAAACATGTATGTTGTTATGTTATCTCAAATATATCTTTTATCATTTCTTGAATTAAGGCAGGCTTTGATGAGATTTCCAAGCAAGACACTCCACTCTACCAGACCCAGTGAGATAGAAGTTTCATCATTTGCCCAACAATAATACCTTTTCAATCTTAGGGAAGTATTCTTTGCAAATAAGATGCAGAAGTTTCTGGAACTGCTGCCCATAGTGAGAGTACATAGCACTCCCTGTCACTTCCAGAAAGTCATAGAGCAAAGTCGCACAGATATCAGATTTTGGATCTGTAGATGAAAGAACAAAATTACATTGTAATTTCACAAACTAGTCATCTCCATGTACTCAGAATCATAGCCCTTATATCAAAGAGCTAAATGTGAGCACTGCTTAATTTATCTCTGTAGGTGTGTTGTACTACAAGAACTTACCTCTATTGAGCATGCATGAAATCCAGCGCCAAGCCTGTGACAGTCCATGGGGATGACTCTTGTTCTGCTGATACCTGCATGGTCGGGATATTAGTATTGCAGCATACAGTCGCATTATCCCAGACATACGCCTTAGAAATCTGTCCTGCTTCTCTACTTCACCGCTCTCATTGTAATGGTAACCCAGCGTCCTGTAACAGAACTTAACCTGAGAATGCTGTCAAATGGATGGTACTCCTGCTTCATATTCAGATTATAGGTTCAGTTCTCGTCCCACAAACCATCTATTCCACCTGATGATTGACACTATTTTCCGCAGTTTTTCCAGGTGAACGCCAGGACACTACCTTAAAATTCGCATTGACTACTTCCTTTCACATTCTTTCCAATTCATCATTAGAGCCATCCTTCCAACTGACTCTTGTAGCTGAAAAAATGTTAAATAAACTATGAAATAATTTTACTTTTAATGCTGGTACTAGCAAAATGCACATTGAAATGTCAATAGGAAATTGTTAAAACATTCCTCATTAAAAATACCTACTCTCAATAACTTGGGCAGTTCTGGGTAGACGCCTACATTTATACAAAGGTATTAAACTTGACAGAATAATATGTACTAAGCAGTGTTGCTATCTACAGAAAAAGTCTTCAGTACAGGTTGTCCATAGCAAAAAATTGTCAAAAATACATAACCTCTTTTTATTCAACTTGCAACAGAGCATCATGATTTTAATGTGTAATTTCTGTGAGTGTCAGAACACTTTTCATTCCCATGGTTACTATGGAAATATGTTCACTGTCATCATGGTCCCAAAGCTTTTCTCACAGCAAAAAGTAACTGGTTTACAATTGTAAACCCATGCATATAATAGGAAAATGAAGACTTCTGTGTTCACACTTATAAAAACTCTGTGGCCTGTAGTCCATAAGCAAACCATACCGACCAAACGACCACCACTTGTCAGTGAAGTTAGTGTCAACTTTTGTGGATAGAGGGTGTCACATGGTCAGCACAGTGGATCCCCATGGCCGTTGATCTCAGTTTTCTAGATTGGAGCCGCTATTTTCTTGAAATAGCTGAGCGGACCCTGTTCCAGACCCACTACTTCTCAGAAAATCTGGTAGCGTCAGGAATTGAACCCAGGACCTCTGACCACTAGACCACAGAGCCGGTCATTCACACTTATATGCTGTCATTAGTAGCTTCTGAGGTACACAGCATGATGGCCAGATGGATACTGTGAATTACACAGGCATCACAAGCTCTCACACAGTCCTGTTATTTTGCTTGCTGCACTTATTATGTTATACACTTACTGGCTTTGCCATATCTTAGGCAGTGAAATGCTGGATTCTCACTGCAGAGGCATGGGTACATTCTCATGATTTTGTACAAAATGCATAATGGATTAAGTGACACTGGAATAGGGGTTTCTTCCTGTTTCTCTGATTTTCCAACTAATCATTACTCCGGCCGACGATCGAACAACTGCCGCCTGTCAGCGAAGTTTAATGCCAATTTTTGTGGATAGAGGTGCTGCGTGGTCAGTGCAACGAATCACCATGGTCGTTAATTTCGGGTTTCTAGACTGGAGCTGCTATTTCCTTGAAATAGCTCCTCAATTATCATCATGAGGCTGAGGTCACCCCATTTGAGACCCACTACTTCTCAGAAAAAAATCTGGTAGTGCCAGGAATCGAACCCAGACCTCTGGATCTGTAGCCAGGAATACTGACTAAAACCACGGAGTTTGTTATCATTACTCCACTACTGCTCAAAATTCATCTGTTACTCCCCACTAACACATGTGATAGGCTAATCAGTCAGCACATTATCACACCCTCAAACCCAAAGTGTATCAGAACCACAGCCACCAATTACTATGCTGATAACCCATTTAATGTTATAGAAGGTAATGCAACAAACAAATACTAAGTAAACTGCAGATTTATGATATGGTGCCATTATTTTTTCTCTTCTACAAGTTTATAGAGGTCGGAACCAGCTCAATTAATACTTATGCAAGACATATACATACAAATCATAAAGACAGCCTTAAGATAGCTTACTTATAGTAGTCCTCAGTGGACTGGCCCTCCACCTGTGGCATGAATATAGGCACAAGGTAAGGGCACTCTCTGTGAAAATGCCCTAATATAAGTTGTCCAAAGTCTGGAAAATCTGCCCAAAGAGCCTCAATGACTGCAGCAATTGCAAATGCTGCCTCAGGTTTACTGGACACAGTGAGTTCACCTTGACACTGAAATGAGTAAAAATTCACAGCCTTTAACAAGAGATCATGGCAGTATTTGAGTGTATTTTTCTCTGAATTCCAATTCCATAGGACAGAGCACTTCCTGAAAAGCTGACAGGTACTCAGCTACATATATACCACTTTTATTTAACATCCACACAACAACTGTGTACTGTGTATATATCTATGTATAACAAAGTTTTAATGCCTACAGTTACAGATCCCAAAGCCTCATCATCAAGTTCACAGCATCCTGAGTCAGTAGGATTCAGCTACACCTTCACTCCCTGTCTCTTTAAGACCCATTTTAATATTAACCACCCACCTATGCATAAAGTTCTCCAAGTGGTCCCACCATTCAGGTTACCTAAAAAATTCTGCATGGGCTTTTAATTTCCTCTATTTTGTCCACATGATCATTCCTGGCTTGGTCATCCCAACAATATCACATGAAGCATATAAATAATATACATAACCTATAATATTGTAACTTTATCCAGTCATTCACTGCTTCATCTCTCCTAAGAGCAAATCTCTTCCTAATTATTTTGTTCTTAAAACCCTCAATACATTTTTCCCTACCAGTGGAGACAATGTTTCATATCCACAGAAAATGACAATTTAAAATGTCATCCTATATACAGATTCCCTCTTCAACAGCTTCAAGGGTCTGCTCTTCCATCTATGTATTGTGTACAGAATGCTGCAGGTCTACATCACATCATATTCCATCTTTGCCTGGAGGGACTGAGAGAAAGGCCATGAAAACCTCAGCCCAGATAGCTAGTTTCCTAGCTCAAGATTCAAAATACGCACCTCTTCATTATAAGTCAGCAATATTACTGCTTGAGCCAACTTTCTCTGTGGAACCCCTAACCAAAACTGAGAGACGCATAACAAGAGATGGGATAAGGAGGTTTATGAAGGGTACACAAAATGGAAACACAAAGAAAATCTACATTCATTTCTTTCTTGTATGAAGATTGTGTTTTTAAGACCTTTTCTATAAAATCTTACAATTTCATATTTGAGATCTATGAAAACAAAAGAAAACTAAACATCAGTTTACCTTTAAAACTTTAATGACAAGACCTGCAAAAAATAAACTTAACCAACCAATGTTCACAGTAACCAGTATACTCACTACAAACTTCTTTGCCAGAAGGTTTTTACAGAATGCAATGCCTTCTGGGTGCGAAGAAGCTGTAACTTGGCCATGTCCAACTTCCACAGGTTGACCAGAAATAAGTCTTGACAGTTTGAACAGCTTATCCTGAAGATGGTCTGCACTTGTAGGAGAAATAGCATTCACAGGAATATTCACTGCTTTCTGCAAAGAGTACAATAAAGATATAAACAAAATTAATTTTAAAAAAGATATTATTGCTTTGTATGGGGCTGAAACTTGGACACTTAGGGCAGTAGATCAGAAACACCTGGAAAGCTTCGAAATGTGGTGTTGGAGAAGGATGGAGAAGATCAGTTGGACCGATTATGTGAGAAATGAAGAAGTGTTACTTAGAGTCAGTGAGCAGAGGAATATCCTACACGAAATAAGAAAACGGAAGGCTAATTGGATTGGTCATATCTTACGCGGTAACTGCCTTCTAAAAGAAGTTATTGAAGGAAATATAGAGGGGCGGATAGAAGTGACCAGAAGACGAGGAAGAAGACGTAAGAAGATGCTGGATGACCTTGGGGACAGAAGAGGATATTTTCATTTGAAGGAGAAAGCTCTAGATCGCATCAAGTGGAGGAACTGTTTTCGAAGAGACTGTGGACCTGTCATCTTACAGATGAATGAATGAATCATACAATCATTTCCATGAAGGATGGGGAAGACTTCATACCAGTATTCATTATACTAAATACATTTTCAAAACACTCTGGAAGAATAAGAAACGCATACAAAATGTTCATCAGAAGACCTCAAGGGACAGAACCATATGGTACAATATGCAAACCTGGAATGATACTGTCATGTGTTAGTGATTAGACATGGGGTTTGAATTGATAATCGGATTTATCAAACGTGTATAACTCGTAAGTACAAATAGTTACAACATTAACACTAATCTACACACTTAACAGTGCACACTAAGTGTCGGTGTTTTTTGTCTTTGCTAGTCATTGCTTGGTTACTGTTTCCACTAGTCATCACTAGGTTACAAATGCTAACCACGGAGGCTTTTCGGCTTTGGTGCTCATGTCAACGCTGGGTGATGGCTGGCTTGCAATTCAACTTGCAACTGCAACTCATGGCCTCCTAGCCATACTAGTTATTGGTGTTCAGTTGTCTTATAAAATATGAAAAATTAAATCAGTAGTTTTGGGGATCAACAAAAAAACTCATGCTGTAGCAAATGAGACCAAAGTACCTACTGTCTTGAAGAATGCTGTCTTCTGGGATGTGGTGCCATGTACATATTGTGTTAACCAACGTTTCAGAGGAACGTATTGCCTCCATCTTCGGGGTATAAGAAATCTGCAAGCTATGAACCGGTGTGAGCAGGTGGCTGCAGACATGCCACCTCCCAGAAGACAGCAGTCTTCATAGTCACTGCTGTGATAACCTCAAATCTTATATACCTACTGTCTTATTATATAAACTAAGAACACAAAAAATCTTCAGTTGATATTTTTTCATGCCCCTCCACAGGGTTTGTAAACCACAAGTTGGGAACCACTGGTGTAAGATGAAGACTAGATATTAACTTTTTATGAACACAGTGATGAACACCTGACTATCAACATTTCAAGGAACACTTTGTATAATAGCGTTAAGGCAATGATACTTACCTGGCATTCAAATCTGAACTCCTTTAATCTATCATCTTTCTGCAAATTCTTGTAAGAATTCTCAAAATTTTGCAGATGCTGCTGCAGGGATATGTACACATTAAACGACTCTCTATCCACAAAGTCATTCAATTCTGAGGAAAAAGAACAGTCACGAAAATATTCAATGCCATAACTGGTACTTCCTCTTGCATTATAAAGAAGTGTGCTTCATAATCTTCAGGTATGAGGCGATCTTCCCAGTTCATCATCATCCTATTCTGTATCATTACATGATGCACCCAAAAATATGAGCTATCTTAAATATGAACTTAAAATTTAAAATGCATGCTGAGTACCGCTGATGTTTGTTTTCCAAAAATGTACAGTATTCACAAAACTTAAACCAGAAACAAGTAATACCACTGCTTTACAGTGCATGCAGCGAACTCTTACTTATCTGCAATGTGCTGCTGCAAAGTGGATGGCTGGGTTGCGTTAAGAGACAGCAGCAATTATGTTTAAAAGCAACACCTTTAAACCTTTCCATCCTACACACAAGACATACTGTTTAGAACAGTGGTCTAAATTTATTTGGTGCATAAGATCAATGTACCCCCTCGTTGGTGTCCTCACCTTATCATGGTGAGGGGGTTTGAGTATGCCAAGTACCCTGAGAGCTATACCAGCGGTAGCATAGTTACGGGCAGGGCCTCCCTTGCTGGATAGGTCAAAGGGTAGGCATCAGACGAAGAGAGACACCAAAAACCAAAAACTGATGCTAGAAGCATTGTCATCAGCAGCGACTTGAAGCACAGAGCAAATGATGCTCGAGATGGTTCAAGTTCGTATAGCAGCAGGCGTGACCAGAGTGGTTTGAACGGCTGTTGTACTGCGATGTGGAAAGCAAGTGGAAAAACTACCACATTATCACTTTTCCTGGATAGTCTCTTTCCACAAGCAGTTATACCATGTATGCAAGATGTTTCCTCTGGAGACAAAACAATCCAGAGGTAAACTACTCCCCCAATCGGATCTCCGGGGGGGGAGTGTTTCTAGAGGAAATGTCATGCAGGCGTTACGACAAGAAAAAGTGCGAAGATCAGAAGGAACATCACGGCTACAAGATTGGAACATGGACTGTAAGGGCCTTGAATCAAGCAGGCAAATTGGAGAATTTGAAAACAGAAATGCCGAAGAATGAGGTGTCTGTTTTAGGTGTCAGCAAAGTGCGGTGGAAAGGACAAGGTGAAATAAGAACTGGTGATTATACGGTGTATTATTCTGGAGGTGAATGGGCTGAAAGAGGTGTGGCAATAGTGGTGCATAAAAGTGTAGTGAGGAGTGTTGTTAAGAAGACTGTTTGTAATGACAGAATTATTGCTCTGAAGTTAAAGGCGGAACCGGTAGATATACTGATTATGCAAATGTACATGCCAACATCAGAGTATGAAAATGAAGTGGAAAAAGTGTATGATACAATTGAAGAAATTCTTCAGGAAGATGGAAGAGGTGACACAAACAGCATCATATTAGGAGACTGGAATAGCATTGTTGGAGATGAATCATATCAGAATATTGTTGGATCACATGGACAGGGAAGACAGAATCACAGAGGTCAAATGCTTATTGACTTCTGTGAAAGAAATGGACTGATTGTTACCAACACTTGGTTCAAGAAGCCAAAGAGAAGACTTTCCGCATGGAAGGCACCTGGGGATTGGAGGCAGCATCAGCTGGACTACATCCTTGTGAAACATCGATTCAGAAACAGTGTGAAGGATGTGAAGACGCTGCCTGGGGCAGATATTGACTCTGACCACAACTTGCTGGTTGCCAAGTTCCGAACCAGGTTGAAGAAAATTATAAGATTCCAAAAGCGCAGACCTAGATGGGATTTGGAGAAGTTGTATGCTCAAAGACAAAGCATGCAGGAGACCCTAGAAAAGAAACTCAGTGCAATTGAAAGTGAATTGAAAGTCCACCACACCTTCACACCCTGTTTCTTTAAAGATCCATTTTAACTTCCATCAATTGCCTTTCAAATTTCTGGAAAGCTCACACCTGGATTTAAATTGAATTAAAATGTCAGAAACTCCAAATAAAAACTAGACTATTATGAATAAATCCATTTACTTGTATACGGACCTTCAAATAACCATTAATTATACAGGGTGATTCACGAAGTTTTACCCCCACTTAGGGAGTGCATTCCTGAGGTAATTTGGAACAAAAAAATTTAATATACTAATGGTATCCAACTCATAATTAAAGAGATACAGTAATTTGAAAACTGGCGAAAAATCTTTTTTTCTTCAAATTTCAGTCAAAACAAATTACAAATACAATACAAACACTTTTTAAATCGTTAATGCTTTAGGAAAGAAGCATTCTAAAACCATTTTTTTTTTCAATTTCTTAATTTTGCATTGTGCAACATTTTTCATCGATTTTATGTTACAAAATTACATTATTTTCAGCATCCCATTCTGTAAACATACCAATGGTTGCATATCACACCCTCCTATCAATCTGTTTCCTTTAAACTGTAGTGCTTTAGAAGACGACTGGATTTACATAAGATTTTCAAAAATGTCTCCCTGCACGTCAACACAACGCGTCGCACGTATGAACCGCGCTCGTAGCATTTCGCAGTTTCACACGTTTGTTCCTTATTGTCATCGTCGCGTCCAGAATACGTTCAAGCAACGCTTCACGTGTTTGTACCTTTACCTGGTACACAATGTCCTTCATCCAGCCCCAAATGCAATAATCGAACGGCGTTAGATCTGGCGACCTGGGAGACCAGGCGTTATGGCCTCCGTGACCAATCCACCACTGTGGGAAATGCCGATCCAAGTGAGCTGCTACTGCATGGGAGAAGTGAGGAGGCACCCCATCATGCTGAAAGTACATCCGGCGTCTTGTTGCCAGAGGAACATCTTCAAGTAACTGTGGTAATTCTTCTTCTACGAAGTGGAGGTAAATCTCACCAATTAAGCGGCCAGGAAAAATGAATGGCCCGATTAGCTGAGCATACATAACACCACACCAGACATTGACACTGAATCGGTGTTGAAAATTTGATTCTATTGTGGCATGGGGATTATTGTCTGCCCAAACATATAAGTTGTGACTGTTGTTGACCCCGTCCCGTGTAAACTGTGCCTCATCGCAGAACATTATCAAGCAGTACAACTTCCAATTTCCATTTAACCAGTTGCAGAACTGCAGACGAAGAGCATGGTCTCCTGGTTATAGGTGTTGTACTTGCTGTAAATGATAAGGATACAGCCCGTTCTCATGAAGAGTCCTCCACGCCATGGACTGAGAAACACCGAACCGCCGAGCTAGATGTCTTGTACTGGCATGTGGACTGTGCTCTACAGCATCGAGAATGTTTTCTTCTTCGCACAATTCATGCTGAGGATTTCGTTCGTATTGTATACGAACGCTGGGAAGGGAACCAGTTTGTCTTAATGTGTTGAATGTACTGCTAATGGATTTAGGATTCAGAATCTTGCGATTAGGATAACGCCAGTGATATTCAGCAGCAGCGGCTCTCGCATTTCCATCACATACACCCAAAACAAACACCATATCAGCATATTCCTCAGTGGAAAATGTGTACAGCATCTTAACTTCACAGTCACCAACACAACATCCTGTTTACTACTTGATTGCTCTGCCTACCTACATGCAACATTCCAGCCGGTCTGCCTTATCTGCTGACACAGCTGACTGGAATGCATGGTTGCCCAGGAGGAAAGCATAGCGCTGCATTCACAATGATGCGTTTTGAAAATCTATTGTTACTCCATAACTACTGAAAATCGACCACAAGTTTATAAGGAAATTTTGCAGGAAATAACCCCAGGAATATGTACCATAAGCCAGGGCAAAACTTCGTGAATCACCCTGTATATGCAACTTAGTCTATGTTCCTTCAAAATTATTTTCATTAATTTCATGCATTTTTATTTTTTATTAATTTAAATAAGGAAGCACAATAAGAGAGAATGTACTGAATTCTACAGGGGTGGGCCAGACTCAATTAGGCAGTTTTTGATCATTAATAACTAACCAATCCAACAACACACGGGATAATGGGAAAGTACCTTTTGTTGACGATAGATGGCAGCATCATACGGTATGCTGTGAACGAGGTCAATACTCTGCCTACTTAGTGCGCATCAAGGAAACGTCATGGCCGGTAGACGGTTGTCTATCGAGCAGCGTGTAAAATGTGTGCGCGTTTCTCAGTTACTAACAATGTATCAGAAGTCCAGCGCGGGATGTTGGAAGAGTTTGGACTGCCAGCAGTCCACAGGGACACAATCGTCCGAATTGAATACGATTTTCAGTCCCCGGGAGTGATGGTGTGGGGCAGCGTGACGTACGAAGGACTGATTGGCCCGTTCTTCCTTGAAGGTTGCGTCATGGGGGAACCTACCTAAAGTTGCTGAGGGAAAGTGTCATCCCAGAACTTCAGAGAAGATAGAACTTTGATAAACTGTGGTGGCAACAAGATGGGGCCCCACCACACTTTGCCAATATTGTTCGGGCGTTCTTGCATCAAGTTTTTCCTCAACGCTGGATTGGCCGTCGAGGGCCTATGGAGTGGCCAGCCCGATCACCTGACATCACCCCACCAGACTTTTTTCTTTGGGGTTACCTCAAAGACAAGGTGTACGCTAATCCCACTGACAGTGTGAAACATCTGCGTGAGGTGACTGTTCAGGAGTTCAATAAAGTTCCGGTGAATATGTGTAGAAAGGCGTGTGAAAATGTTGCTTTGTGTCTGCAAGCCTGTGTTGACTTAGGTGGTGCCCAGGTTGACCAGCATCTTGAAAATTGATGATGTATGTGTGTGCGATTCCATTTTTGTAACCACTGCAATTGTTAACATTTATCAATAAAAATAAAATCTAATCAAAAACTGCCTAATTGAGTCTGGCCCAAACAGCCTGTAGATTACACAAACAAGAATAGTGATGCGGTATATAAGGTGCTCATTTTTACAATGTAAAGAATACCTGATAATTGTAGTTTTCGATTGAAATGAGAAGGAAAGTTTGAGGAGAACTGCACTGTAGCATGTCACAAGATTATTCCAGCTGGTTGTGAACTGATTAATTTTAATCTGCACGTCAGATTCTACATTCAATAATATATTGGAACGGATGAAAGAGACTTATTCCTACTCTAACATCAGAAACACATGCTATGTGACAGATTATGGAAAGTAATATATGCTTTCTAGATGCTGAATGATGCCAAATAAGGCAAGAATAGACAAAACTGGAGGACTTCCACTCAAAATATCAGTTGCCTTCTGAACATATGGGCTGTGGACAATGTTCAGTACTTTTTGAAGGGAGGTTAATCTTCAAATAATACATTTATTAGAAACACAAAATTTATTGGAATAAAAATGTAGAAATTATGTGACAAGAGCAATTACATGGCAGGTGTAACTGCAAAACATATTCTGTAACAATCAAGGGGGGGGGGGCATGGCCAACTGTGCATCCTTCCCTGAATTATCAGACGATTTAACCCAAGCATGAAATAATGTTGTATTTTAGTGTCCTGTTGCACTGATTTTCATCCATGATATGTATTCAGTGGCCATCTTGTAGTGCACTCAGTTTCACCTGTTACTTCACGACATGTTTCGGCAACATAGTGCCATCATCAGGTGCCCTAATTACGCTAATCTATTGCACTGCTTGCCTTTATATAATTATTTAAAAGGTGCGTATGTCAACTATAAGAAATTTACACACACTAAAACTTGTTAAAATTATTCATCTTATGTGTTTTAATTAAAACTTGCGTGTGGTTCTTCCACTATGGGGGTCATTTTTCTTATATTCTGTGTAAACCGTGTCTTGTGATGTGTGTTCCCTTCTTAGCTGCAAGTGTTTTAATCATTTAAATCCTTGTAAATTTATTATAGTTGACAAATATGCACTTTTTAAATAACTTTATAAAGACATATAAAGGCAAGCAATGCAATAGATTAGCATAATTAGGGCACCTGATGATGGCACTATGTTGTCGAAACATGTCATGAAGTAACAGGTGAAACTGAGTGCACTACAAGATGGCCACTGAATACATATCATGGACAAGTATGAAATGCTCAATAAGGAAAACAAATAGTGTTGCATGCATTATATCAAGAACAAAAGTTCAGTGTGTGCTGATCCCTCATCATATTATGCATAATTTCTGAGACTTCAGACAATAAATTGGAAACAAGTTAGGCAACATATGGTTAAAAAGATAAAGTTGCTCCTGTACTTAACTACATAATTAACTTGTAGTTGAGCACCACACCTGTATAGACCAAAGTTTTCTTGACCTTGGCACTAGTTGGAGGTGAGCAGTCAGCTTCGCCCCTGGGGAAAGAGCTCATGGTACCCATTGGATAGGAGGTTGGGTGGACCCCAGGGCTGGTCTGGATGACATGGAGAAGTGAAAATTCTTGACCCCACCAGGACTTGAATTCCCAACGCTATGAAAGCATATGGGGGAGTGGATGTAGAGATCCACATTTTCTTGACTTCAGTACTGGTTGAGGTGAGTGGTCAGCTTCATGCCCCTGCCGCTTTACCCCCCGGGGGAAACAGCCATAGGACCCATTGGACAGGAGGTTGGGTGGACCTGAGAGCTGGTCTGGACAACATGGGGAAGAGAAAATCCTTGGTCCTACTGGGACTCAAACTCCAACCCCTCAGTTGTCCAGCCCATAGCCAGTCGCTATACTGAATATGGTGTCAATAGAGTATAACATAATAATTCTGGCAGGTTTGCTCCCTTTTCTTTAATTATCTTGGAAATCATAAGACTTACAGAGAAAGTATATATGGTACAAAATGTGCTTCATTTATCTTTAACGTTTGTTCAAAATATTTTTCATTTTAATAAATATCCAGACAAATGTGTGTAGAACGACAAGCGTTCATGTAAAGCACCTGCTATCACTAAAAAAAGTTAACCAAATTTCAGCAAAACTTCTCGATATCAAACTTGTTGCAAATCAGTTTCGTGCTTCTTGAGATGTATGTAGGTACGCTGAAAAGTAATGCACACATGCTTGTAGAGCGCGAACGAAATGACCTTCAGAAGCGCGCCAGGTGGCATGTGGAAGTAACATTCACCCTCAATACGCATTCACAGGTTTAAAGGCTGTTTATGGTGACAATGCTGTTGATAGGTCTACTGTACATTAATGGGTAATAAAATTTCGTGGTTGCGAGCCTGGAAAAGCCATAATTGTTGATGAAACACGCAGCGGATGTCCAATCACTGCCACAGACGATAATCATTGCAAACTTGTCGACGATTTGATTCAAAATGACCGGCGAATCACTCAAAAGCGTATCGCAAACCATATTGGAATATCCAAGGAATGTGTCAGCTTCATTATTGAACAATTAGGATACCGTAAAATCTGTGCATGATGGGTACCACGCCGTCTCACAGACGAGAACAAACAGCGTCGATTGGAATGCTGTGAGCAACTTTTGCAGCGCTACCGTGATGAAGGAGACGACTTTCTTTTGAATATTGTGATGGGGGATGAGTCATGGGTCCATCGTTACGACCGGGAAGAGAAAAGCCAGAGCGCTGAACATCGACATCTGTCTTTTCCTCAGGCGAAAAAGTTCAAAACACGACCATCCGCCAAAAAACTTCTTTTGACTGTGTTTTGGGATGCTCACCGAGTTTATGTGACCGATTTTCTGGAACGAGGTGCAACGGTAAATTCTTCTCAGTACATACAGACTCTAAAACACCTGCGGCGTCAAGTTTGTCGTGTTAGAGGCAGCCTGGAGCCAATAATCTTGCAACATGACAATGCTCGTCCACACACCTCGCGCGCAACTGAAGAGGCTCTGCGAAACCTGAAGTTTGAACTGATTCCACACCCTCCTTATTCCCCCGATCTTGCGCCTTGCGATTTTTATTTTTTCCTCTACTCAAGAGAGACCTCAAGGGTAATCATTACACCTCGGACGATGAGGTGAAGGCAGCTGTCAAGTCCTGGATTCGAGAAAAGAAGGAAGAATTTTTCAGTGACGGAATGAAAAAACTTGTTACACGTTGGGAGAAATGTGTTAGCCTTAACGGTGACTATGTTGAAAAAAAAAATATGCTTTTGAAACTTAAGAATTGTACTTTAATGTACTTTTTGCCCGATCTTGCTATTTGTTTTTGTTCGCACTCTACAAGCATGTGTGCATTACTTTTCAGCTTACCCACGTAACATGCAGACAGCTGGCAATACGAGGGGATGGAGAACGACAAAGCAAAGCTAATGTAAAATAATCTTTTCTTGGGAGAAATAACATGAAGTATAGGGCTGAATAGTGTCAGGCAAGGGCTGTATAATATGCAAATCAGTAGATCATCTCCTGTGTTAGGGAGTGAAAGCAAGGGACGTTTATGTGTGCCTCAGTCACTATCATTCATAAGGTAACCAGAGAACAATTATAAATGCAAGCTTGCCTTCAATCATTCTGTTGGATGTCAGTGCCTGTGTGGACTGAGAGGACCCTGTAGCCTGTTCTTTCTGCTCTTCTTTCGCTGCACTGGCCTCAACTGCTTCTTTATCTGGTTGTTCATTAATCTTTTCTGGAATAAATTCATGCATTTGTAATTATGGTCTCAGAACGGGGGAAAAAAAAAGAGAGGAAGCTCATAAAAATATTAACCCATTTAAAAGCAAATCTAATACTTCAGGTGGCTGATATGATTAGACAGGCCACTTTCAAAATATGACCATTATGGATAATGTGATTAATTTGTGGACTGTGAATACCTGGGAGGTCTCCAATATCATGCGCCTATATGGTTCAATGACATTGCCACTTGAGTAAAAGCCTATTCTTAACATCATAAATGGAGTAATACCTAGTAAATGAATCAGTCTCATAAATATTGAATCAGAAATACTTCCTAACTGTGCTACATTCGCATGTTGTCAGACACCCACTGAAATGAACACCTGAACTGATAGAATCCATACTGGCCTCTTGCAGAACAGATATGTCCACCTTAATTTAACTTAAAATTAATTCATCTGTAGTGAAGATTTTAAAGTCATAATATTGTAACAGATTTGCTCAAAGTGTTTCTAGGCAACAGCTTGGTAAATACGTTCCAACGTGCAACAATGGAAGCTGTGTCACACTGGACAAATGTTATTGCTCATTGCTAGGCAACAGTCAGCGCACCAAAGACGTAACTGGCTAGGAATCACGTGACTTGTTTCCAGTGTGGTCCATTCCATGCCCAGTGCTAGGCAACAGAACTGTAAACATGTCTACAGTATAGGCGTTTTGTATGGGGTCCGTGCCGAAGGTTTATAGGGGACAGTGAAGTTTGTTGTTATTATTATTTATTTCATCCATAGCTGTAGAGAATTACTATTGGCCATGTCACACATCAACAACATCACATCAAAATAAAATAAGTATAAAAAAAAAACAAAAAAAAAACAACATAACATTCACACAGTGATTCATGACTATAATACAGCAATACATTTTTAACTTAATTTAAGAATAATAAATACTCCAAAAAAAAGACATAAGAATTAATACTTTAAACATATAGACAGATTTATTAACAAGCAGTTTACGTCAAAAATTAATAATAATAAATACTCCAAAGAAGGCATAAAAATATACAGACAGATTTATCAACAAGCAGTCCATGTCAACAATTATTAAAAAATTCTTGAAGAGAATAGAAGACATTACACGACAAATAATTCTTAAGTTTCTTCTTAAAAACATTAAAATTTTTAACATTCTTTAATTCAGTTGGAAGTGCACTGCAGTTAGTAAAAGGCAAAAGATTTATATGTATTGAAGGAAAACCAGAGTTTGGTGAATTCAGAAACCCATGTGAAGGTGGGGTTAAATACCTTCAGCGTGACCCTACAAGTGCATTGGATTATCAACACCACTATCAGCCAGATGTGATTCATTGAGCAATACCAAATTTATATTCATCAGCATTCATCTGCATGGACCAGAACCATTAACATTCAGTTAAGTATTTAACAGAGGTGTTCCAAAATCTGACAGAAGCCACACTTGGCTAGATGGCAACTGCAATGATGACAGAAATTCTGCTTGAGCTCTATTATTTCCCTACTTGTCATCAATGTGTTATTACCCTTATAAAGGTATAGTCATGTTCTTCTGGTTGCATTCATTCTTAGAACTAGTGTACAACATGCTCTTCAGAAATATGACATCGGACTCTCATAAACCCTGCCTTCAGTTGATGAAATCTACCATACACTGGGCTGATGCCTTGACCTGGGACATCACCCACCTAATACCAGCATCATCCAAGCAAGGCATAAAGGAAGGAAATAGTAAGGAATTGGCATCAATCAAATATAAAGATATTCCACAATTAAAGATCTGTAACTTACGACATTCTTCACGTATGACTCCTAAGATTTCTTCAAGCTGCTGTACAATTGTAGAAGCAGTTTCGAGGTCTAAATCGTTCACTTCACCAATCTGAAAATTAAATTAATCCCAGTTCATAATAAATAAAAGGTTTACAATTAGAAAATAATAAAATGCATATAAAACTACTACAGTATATGAGGTTTTACGTTCTAATGACAGTTGGGATAGGATGCAGTGCTATGCAGTTTGGTAGACAAGTACCAATGTTCAGGAGAAACCTGTTGCCCCCATCTTCAGGACAGAAGAAGAAGGCATCACGTTTATATAAAATGTTCATAGTTATCTACCAAACTACATGGTGTCATATCACAGATGACCTTAATCTTAAAACTTTACTAATTGTGTAATATTAGTTGGAGGTGAATGGTCAGCTTCAAGCTCCTGTCCCTTTAGCTATCGGAAAACTCTCTCTGGCCTGCACTGGCTACAAAGTCGGTTTGGACATGGTAGTGAAGAGACAAATCCTGCTCTGAACTGAACCTCAGTTCTTCCGGCCCATGTCAGCCATTTTACTAATTGAACTGTCTTGGTTGATATAGGAACTATTATTTGTATAACAAAGACAAAATGTTACATAAAACACAGCTGGAAATAGCTAAAAGTGTGAGAAAATAATAATACAGAATCTTGCCTTGCACTGTGTGATCAGTTGATCCATGGCTTCCTTAAGGCTCTTCAGTTTCGCATTATGACAAGAAACCTTTGCCACAAAAGCTTGCTTGTCTTTACACTGCCTGAAATAAAGCAATGTTATATAAATTCAGTAGCCAACCAAATATTGCGATTACATGCTATGGAGGGTAAGATTCAGAAATGGATACCTGGAAGAACCAAGGAGGAAAAGTTATCCGAGATGTAATCACTAATTTCTTAATCTGCCACAAAAATAAATTTTCTAATATAACAACAGAATTCCCTGTTCAAATATATTTACTTTTTAACATGCTATGACATATGATATTTGCTAAATGTACATGGTAGGTCTTCTAATAAATTCAAGTTATATATATTAAATGTAAAAGGGAAATTAATTTTTCCACTTTAGCCAGTCCTACATAAGTTTCGGTTCCTATGGGGTGGAGGTCTGTCATTATGTGTACAAATGATACAACTAGAAGGAATATAAATACTAGTAGAAACCAGCTGTTGTCTCTCACAAATGTGTACTGAACCTCATATCTAACTCTGTTGTTCTGGTTTCAAAGGTAACTTGTAACATCAGCCACAAACCTGAATGCACTCATACTAAGGGCATTCCGTATATAATGTCTCCTATTTTTTTTAAGAAAACTACAACAGATATAGAAATCATAATAACGCAGTTAAATAGAGCAAGATTTCAGCTACTTACAGCTATTTTTCCACATAATCACCACCATTCGTTATGCACTTTTGCCATCGATGAACAAGAGCCTGTATGCCACGCTCGTAAGTCTGCGCCAGCAGAGGCTNTTACAGCTGCAATGACAGCATCATTGTCTGGAAAGTGTTCCCCACGTAGTCCATCTTTCTTGGGCCCAAAGAGATGGAAGTCTGAAGGTGCTAAACCAGGGCTATAAGGTGGATGTGGTAGGACAGTCCAGCCAAACTTTTCAATGTGCGTGGTGGTTGCCAAACTGGTATGGGGTCTAGCATTATCGTGTTGCAAGCGAAAGGTTGTCTGCTTCTCTGGCCTGACTCGGGAAATACAGGCTTTCAGCTTAGTCAGCGTTGTCTTGTAGCATTCAGAATTGACAGTCCCTGGTCGTTATCTCCTGATATGTTCAGATGAGGCGCTGTTCATTGTGAGGAGTGGCAGCTGAGCAGGGATGCCCATGGCGCGGCTTGTCCTGCACTTCACTTTCGTCACTGTTGAAACGCACTACCCACCGAATCACTGTGCTGACATCTACTGTATTGTCTCCGTACACCTTTAGCAAGTGTCGATGGATGTCAATGGGTACAATTTGTTCGGCAGTGAGAAATTCAATAACACATTTCTCTTTCATACGCACTTCTATGTCAGACGCCATTTTGGTAGACTGCTCTGCTGTCGCTATCTGTCGCATGACAACTAAATTAACAGTACATTGGCGGGAAGGTTCAACCTTTACTACAACACCACCAACATCCAGCTCAGATGTTACATATTAACACAAAAAAAATAGGAGGCATTATATACGGAACGCACTATGTAGCATTAAACAGCAGAACATTTCCCTAGCTTAATTTCAACACATGTGAAATCATAAAATCATGTGTCAGCTCAAAAACCAGTTATTGCATAAAATCTATGCTCTCTGTAGCCTGAACCAAGAGATTGCTGATAACACAAGACTCCCAACTGTGCTGGCATGGATCTTCCTTCAGAAGGTAAGAGCTACACAGATGATCAGAAGTTAGTATCCCACTTTTATGCAACATAAACTCTGATAGCATACTGATGAAAGCCCAATACTGGACCTTATCCTCAGCCAGCTGAATCCAGCCAACCCCTTCACATCATATTTTCTAAGATACTGTAACGTGTTTTGTTACTGAAGACGCCGTTCGGATTGTTAATTGGTTTATTTAACAACCTACAGGTATCGGCTACAATTGATTATAACACTGTTGTGGGGTTTCACACTTTATAACCCTATTCGCAATAATCTGTTCACACTGTTCTCAGTAGTCTACATGTATTCACAGTACGGGAGCTATACAAGTCTCTCTATATTACACACTCCCAATTACACAATTACACATGCGTCAGGTTCTTCTTTCCGCGACTGCTGCTAGACTCCAACTGTGTCACTCCTGATCACACACTAACTCGTTCACTGCTGACTGGAGAACTCACTTCGGCGGCTGATACACTTTTAACTGCCTTCAGCGGCTGTGTAGTTCCCTTATATAGTCGCAGTTTTTACCTTTTATGTAATGAGTACCGCTGTTGCCTGACGCCGTGTCGACAGCAGTGTCGCGTGCCATGTCACAGTACTGAGGGGGGGGACGGAGCGCTGACTCACCCGCCACGTCACCGTGGCCAGAGCTGCCACCTCGCTGCTGGGTAGGGAGGGGTTGTCCTCCATTGCGCAACATGTCACAATACATTTTAATATTATCCTCCATATGCACCTACAGTATTTTCTCAAGTGAAAGCTGACCACCCTCCTCCATCTAGTTCCACAGTTAAGAACAGTGGAGTTATACCTCCATTCCTCAACTTTCGTAGCATGGTGTTTAATTAATTAAACACAGGGACTTTACCTTCACCTTCTATTTTACTTTAATCCTTTAAGTTTTCAAATAGGACATAGGATAATAAAAGATTCTGAACTGAATAGTTACAAGCATTTCCAAATTAAAATATGCTTTTACTTTCATCATGAATAAAAATTTCTAACCAATAGAATAACTTCTTATACTGTAATATGTGAAACATACTTTGCTGTTTCCACAATCTCTTCGTATTTAGTCCGGTACGCTACTTGATACTGATATAGCTTGTCAAGCTGAATCTTCTTTTCCTTCATCCTTTTCCTCTCATCCTCCTCTGCCTCCTTCTGTCTCTTCTCTTCTTCCTTCAGCTTTTCGTTCCATTCATTCATACGCTGTAAGAGAAAAGCTGTACTTCTAAATACCATTAGGAAATGATACAACTGCAGTAACAACTCATGACTTCTATATAGATTGATTCACTTTTTATTTATCAATTACCTCTTAGCTGCACTTTTCAGGGTGTGATGTTGAATGAGAGGATGATTTAGAATGATGAATTGGAAAGTGTACTTTGCCAGCATTCACTTGGAGAGAGTGTGCAAAATCAAGAAAAAGACCAAACCTACAAAGGGTCCAATTCAGGCAAATTTAACTGCTAGAAAATTATCTACTAACTAACTATTTTCATGGAGCTGAGCCCTTCTTGAGAAGTCACCAGTGAGAAGTGGAAAGTGCAGCTGCTTGTTGGAAGGGTGGTGGTGGGATGCACCACCCTTCCAACAAGCAGCTGCACTTTCCACATTGGTGCACAGGACTAGAGCTCTTTGTGATCAAGACAGCCTACATGCAGAGTTGGTGCTCCTGGGGGATCTATTCAGAAAGAACGGATACAACAACCGGCAGATCCACAGAGTTCTCAACCGTCGGCCCAACATGAGCCGGCCTGAAGATAAACCGGGCTCAGTCGCCTTCGTCCCCTATGTTGGTACTATATTCAACCGTATCAGCAGAGTGCTGTCCCAGCATAACATCAAAGCAGTGGGTCTGCCTCCAAACAAATTATCCAGTTTCCTCTGGCCGGTCGAAGATAGCCTGGGACTAAGGACACTGGGTGTATACAGCATCCCATGCGAGTGCGGCAAGGTCTATACTGGGCAGACAGGCCGCTCTGTGGTCATGAGGTTGAAGGAGCATCAGCGGCACATCCGTCTCAAACATCTGGACAAGTCAGCCGTAGCTGAACACAGCATCGATCTGGGACACCGCATTCAGCTTCAGAATACCTCCATCATCGCCACCAAGACCTGATATATGGATTGCATCATTAGGGAACCCATTGAGATCAAACTCCATCCCAAAAATATGAACAGGGAGGTGGGGTTTTTGACGCAGCAAGTCATGGAAGCCTCTCATCTGTTACCTAAAAAGGCCCCGGGACACGACACCAGATCCACAAGGCTACACAGGCCATGACCGACTAACATAGCAACCCCCCAGTTTAAGGGTTAGTGCCCTCCCTTTAACCTTGCCTTTCTCTCCCCCGACACCATGTCTTATACAAAACCCTGCTTCTGTTTCCAGCCCCTTCCCCCCTCCAACTCCAATTATTTCCCATGTAGACTTGCCCCCCTCCTTCCCTTCACTGGTCTCACACAGCTGTGTTTATTTCCAACACTAGTCTGCTTGTGCCGGTTCTCAGTCTCTTCGCTTGCAGATTCTTATTTTTCCTTCTACCCTGAAGATGGAGGCGATACATTCCTCCGAAACGTCGGTTAACACCACATCTACATGGTGCCACATCCCAGAAGACATCATACAAAATCTTCCTTCGGCGCACAGCTTCGATTGGTAGTTCTTCAATCATCTTCCTTGCACAGGGTCAACTACGAGCAGGAATCTGTTTATTGAACACTGCATATAGCAGAGCAGTAAGACACAGTTCCTGCTTCACCCTGCTCTGCGCATCAACTTGTGCGGTTGCATCCATATCTTACAGGATCACAGAAACCTGCACTGTGCTGCTTGCACCTCAACATGCGCCTGGCATAATGAGCCATTGCCTAGAAGCAGGGTTAGGAAGGAACATACAGACAGCAAGGTGATACCATAAGCCTCCTTTTACTTTTTCAAAATAAAGAAATAGGACAAAACCAATTTGATGTGTTTACACTCACAGAGAACACCATCCCTGGGGAAAACAATGAAATGATATAATATGTGTATGTAGCATGGGAGGAAGAGGAATGATGATAGGATAAACAAATGAAAGAGATGGGAAAGGAATATGGAAGAAAGGAGATAAATGTGTGAAAGGGCTGAAGATACAAAAGAAATTATTTTAACTGAGAGACTAAACCTATGCATGTGATAAAAAGTCTGACCAGAATCCTGAGATTCTCACATGGCTTATCCCAGTCCGTTCAGAAAATGGTAAGACAGCACAATGAAATGTGTCATATCTACTTCACTCCACATCCCTAAAAAATTAATACTATTACATCTGATCTTTATTACTGTTTTGTTCACAACAGATACAGTGCTCATCCATCTTCATGGAAACAACATTTTTGCACTTGTGCATGTGCTTGCTGATAGGTCCCTAGAAACAGATACTACACTAGTGCTATATAAGTTTTACCTATTTTTACATTTGAGTTTTTTTTTTACAAAACTTCTGTCATACCTGGGCATGCTGTCTGTGTTCTTGGGCCAGCTGCTGTTGTCTCTGGCTTGCAAGAATCTCGTCTTCATGCAACTGACGTAGAACCAGCTGCTCTTCATGGTCCACCTTTGCCTTGATCTCATACGTGAGGTACTGGTATTTTCTTTGCACCTCCAATTGACGAATCTGAGAATCCTTTTCCATTTCCAGGAAACGCCTGTTCATTAAATCCTTCACTCCCATTTGCCGCTGCCGGTTTAACTCGTACATTAGTTTCATAAGGCATCGTGAAGACTTATCTTCCCTCTCAATATTCCGAGCATGGCTTTTAATGGAGGACTCATCCTCCACAGGCACATAATTTCTTTCATCCAGCTCATATATTTTTTCACTCCTGTTGTCGACATCACTGCAACTAGCACGCTTGCAATCTGGACCAATCGTAACCTCAGTTACATCTTTGCTTATGACTGATGCTTTAGCTAAGGCTGACAGCTGAAGCCCATCTAGACCCAATGCACTACCCTGCATGTTTTTCTATAATCAGATTAAAATATTTTCAAATTATAACACTGCTAATGTAACAATACTAATATTCAGCTATACAGGTTACCTTGCTTTAAAGATACTGACGTGAATAACATAGTGACTATGTGGAAGACTGTTGCAACAACTCAACCTGGATCAATATAAATTAATATATAAATTAAACATTAGACGACACATGACAATCATTACATAAACAATAAATTCCTTATAATTATTCCACAATAAGTCTTATGGTTCTTTAGATAATTAATATGCTGTTAAGTTCACAAACTCATAAACAAAAGAGGCGCATGACAAAAAAAATTCTTATAATGCCTACTGAAAACATCTACTATATGTGGATTGTCTTTTAATTCTTACTGTGAACCTGTTCTGGATTTTTCAATTGACCTAATCCTTCCAGATGCACTATGGCCCTGGCACTTACCCAGCCTCTAACAGAAATGAGTACCAGGAATCTTCCTGGGGTGTAAAGGGCGGCCAGTTCATGAGGCTGACAACCTCACCGTCATATGTAAGCCGACATTCTACAACAAGTGGGAGCCTTGACGTCTCACAACCCCATGGGCCTCCATCGCTTGTGACAGGGATATCTATAGCTTTTTTTTTACTTTTACTCTAAACTGGTTATACATTTTAATTCCTGTATTGTATACACCTGTTTGATATATTTCAGGAGTAGTAGTTTGGTATGTCCCTGGTGCTGACTTCATGTACCAGAAAATTTTACAAAAACTTTCATAGTTATGAACTACAAATATCATTACAGTAAATATACATGTACAGGCAAGTGTTAGTATACAAAGCCTCTTAAACAATCCACTATACAACTCACTCCTCCGAGCACTGGCTATAATTTTGATTCCTCCGAGCACTGGCTACAATTTTGATTCTAACATTTTACTATTCAAATATGAGCAGAGACAGTAGGTTTTGAGATATTGCATAGTGGGCATAAGGTCATTAATATAAGCTAGAAAAATGAGAGGACCAAATGCTGAGCCTTGTACGTTTCCATCCTATACTTTATCCAAATCAGTGCAAGTGTTATCTCCATATTCTGTTTCCAAAATTTCAAAACATTCGCCTGCATTTCCATATAACCCATAATGGAATCACTTTGCAGTATACTGCAAATGACTTGGATAAAAAGCCTTCGCAAGGTCACAGAACACATCCGTAAAACAAATTCTGCTATTTTAGCTTTTCAGTACTTTAATAAGATTAAATGCACCTTCATTAGGAAACACATTATTTCCAAAACCAGAATGTTCATTAATTAAAATGATATTGTACCTTAGTGATTTACCCATTTCTACATAACTTTCTCAAATGTTCTGGAAAACACAGGTAATACAGAAATTGGCCTGTCAGTGTAACACATCATCCAACTTGCATGGGAGTTTTATGACTGACCACATGAGCTGCCTGGAAACTATAGAGGTACCTTATTATTATTATTATTATTATTATTGGAGGGGGTGGGTTTCCCCATGCACCGCGACCAGTTTGATCTATTGTACGTCCCCCTGTGATATTCTACTGGTCTCTATACCCTACCGGTACCGGTGCGTGCCATCAGTCCCGACTCAGCCAGCGAGTTCGGCCTCTACTGGCTCAGCGGTATCTAGATGCTTCCCCCATCTACCAGACGCGTTAGAGACTATTGTTGGGCGGGAAATGTCCTTCAATTTGGCTCAGAGGTCTCCTTGAGACATGAGGTTCTTTTAGGTGCTGTAAAGCTACGACACGGGACCCACAGCTTAAAGTCCCTCCCGGAGGACTTGTTCCCTGAATTTTTCCGCCCTTAAAAATTCCATGACCTCTGCCGGGTTTGAACCCGCGTACCTTGAGTCATGAGGTGGGAATGTTACCCCTAGACTATGGAGGCCGCTTATAGAGGTACGTTACTGGTATACTAATTAAAGATGAGCAGATCTTTATAACTTTGCTACACCTTTCATAATATCCAAAGAAGCTATTAGTTTTAGGTGACCGAGTTATCTTGAAAATTTAATTGGCAGTTATTTGACTTGTTCCTATCTGTAAACTGATTCGACCTAGTAACGTACTGCCAAAGCACTAAACTGACAGAATAGAGTATATAAAAAAAGTTTCCTTCTCTCTGTTCAACAAGAGATCGAATGTTTTGTTTCAAATCAGTTCCACAAACTGAGCAGCTTATCTGACACAGCATTTCTTGCCTTCGAACGTGCTGGCAGGTACGTTCGTCATTCAACTAGACACAATAATATACTTCTCACTGTTATTTTTGTTACTTCCATGTGGATCGAATGATAAGTGAGAATCAGTGTTCGCTCTACTCCTGCTTTATTAAGACTCCGAAATTTGATACAGAAGTACGCCTTATATACACATACAGGCTTACAACCATAGTAACACATAACAATATAAAGATACTGTTGTTACACACGTAACTGTAGTTACACATCATAGTAAACATCACTTAGGTATCAAGACATAACCTAGTTCTTAAATTGTTTACCATGATGTTGCCAACTCTAATATTATATTTCAGTATTTGAGAGTTGCCAACATAACACTCACATGTCACAAGGAGAGCAATAAAATGCAGAAATCAACATGAGAAGTTGTTTGGTTGCATCTCTGCATCTTTCACTTGTGGATTATTGCTAACCCTACCATATCCCCCTTATGTCTTCAGTGAACTAATTTTTTCGGTTGTGAACGGAGAAGTTCATGGAGGTAGGCCTAGGCCCACTGGGGCTGTAGTGCCAAGGAAAAAAAAATTCTTTTGGTTAACCACTCACTTCTGATTTGACTGAATATTTTTTCCCTTGTGGAAAACTTGCTTCAAAGATCTGACACCACTGTTTAAGGAATTTTATTTTTTCTCCAGATCTGAGATACTGCATGTAGACTCCAATTTTTCATTGCTAAGGTAAAATTTAAACCATGTGACAGTATCTTCATTTATTAATTAATTATTACATTTCACGTAACACAAGTTTCTGTTTGGTCTTCATTATACATGACTTACTTGGCCATCATCACCTGACAAAACCATTCACTAATGGTTTAATGCAATCAGAATGGTGTCTATAGTTATTTATGTCATTATCAATTGTTTTGCTTGCACTATTTTGGGCTGCTGTTTGAAAATGTGAGACTGCAGGTTTTTCATAATGAATTATGTTGTGCTTTCTGGTTATTCTGACTGAGGAAGTCAACATCAAAATCTCAATACATAATTCCATCTGCCTCAGAAACTTAATTAGCACATCACTTAACTCAGTCAGGTTAGGCTTTTGTTTTCTTGTTAATAATACAAACCTCTTAAGATGAGATTTTTGGGTTTGTTTTTAAAAATTATGGTTGGCAGTACCTTACAACCTAACTACACTGTTATGTCATCATCCATTATACACTGATTCAAGTCTCACTGTCCCCATCACATCCTCACAATGCACAAGCTACCAGCACAACTGCACTTCATCTGGTCATTAAAGCCACCACAGTTCTGCAGCGTGCTTCAATTTAATAACTGCTCAGAACCTCTGAATTTACAGTATTCTCAACAGTTAGATGTACCATCTTCTGCAGAGAAGCGACATCACAAATAGGAAACCTGTGTGACAAAAGTTGTCAAGGGGAGGGGACAATACTGCAGTGTCTGCATAGGCTAAAATGTAACCAAATCCCCAGTGTACTGATGTACATAATAAAACAAGTTAATCTGTTGCATACACAGAACATTATATTATTACTAAGAGTAACAGTGTTAGAAATTGTACAACCCTATATGGCTTTAGTTAAAGAAACGGATGGCACTTCACACCTACTATTAGGATCATCATCATCATCAGTAATCTGTCAAGACGACAGGTCCACAGTCTCTTTCAAAACAATTCCTCCACTTAATGCGATCTAGAGCTTTCTCCTTCACATGACAGTATCCTCTTCTGTCC